GTTATATAGGATCTTTGAAATCAGCAGGACAAGCACCTAGCACTCAGGCTACTAATGCACACCAAGAACCCGTGTGACTTACCACAAAGCCGTGATCATTCATGTTCAAAATTAAGTTCTGGCCCATGACAGCCAGTCCAATCAGTGCAATATCAGCTCTGAAAGACCAGAAAAAGGAACAAAGCAAAATGTGTCAGTTCCACTTAATCCATTCCAACTAAGCACTTAAAACTTTCCCAGCTTTTGCTGTGAGTAAGAACTTATTTTACCTTTTCCTCTGTCCCCTACTCCCTTTCACACTTTAGAACCCTGGCATGCAGCCCTTCCATTAAACTATAGACAGACAACCCCCCCAACTCTGTCACTTCGAGGGATCTCAAGTTCTCTTGAGATCAACTAAATACGCAAATGCTAGGGTAATCACGGCATGCAAGCGCTAATCTATCTGGCAGACTTGTTCCAGGCGTCCCCGTCTCCCACAGCGGGGAGAAGCCCCTGCAGGCAGAGCCGCCGACCGTCCAGCCGCCTCCCCTCCACACTGAGCTCTGGCTTTCCTCGGCCATGCCTGCCCCCTCCCCGCTCTTTCTAGCAACTGGGATCCGCCCGGCGCCGCCCCGAGGGGCAGAGGGCTGCGTCCGAGGGAGAGGAGAAGCTGAGAGGCTAAGACCCCGTTGGCCCGGGGTTCTGAGCACCACGAGGCCGGGCTCGGGCGACCCCCGGGGACCAGGCGGCGTCGGGGGCAGCTCCGCCCTTAGCACTGGCCTTCGGAAAGTTCCCCGGGCGCCTGCGGGTCGTCACTCACTGGGCCATGGCGGCGGCAGCAGACCAGGCAGAAGCGAAGAGAAGGCACGTCGCGGGCGACTGAGGATGAGTCCCGCGGTGGCTCGCCTTCCGAGGCGGCGGCCGCGGCTTTCCGGAGATGACCAATCAGAAGGAAGGGGCGGAGCTGTGCCGACACGCCATTGGTCCTCCCTGGCGCCTGTTACACCACCTGAGGCAAACGGGACGCCCACTCCCGGGACCGACTCAGGAGAGCGCCGAGTACATCGATGACATCGCCTCTGCGCGGCCCGGGTTGCGCCTGGACAGCGGAGGGGCTGGGCGCGGGCCGGGAGGTGCCGGGACAGGCGGAGGGGGCTGCGTGGAGCCGCCCGCGGCAGAGGTCACGCAGGGCCGGGACTCGATTCCGCGGCTCCGTGCCGAAGGATGGTGGGGAAGGTGGGGCCGCGCTTTCCAGTTACCAGGCACTTGGACGCCTGTTGTTCGAGTGTCCATCACTCCTTCCTCCCATCGCTGCCGTGCACTGTGGGCCTATGCATCCTATCGCCCATCTCTGGGCAGGGATCGAGGTTTACTCTTCTGGTATTTGGACAAGTGTAATGCGTGCTCGGAAATGTGGGTGCTCACACGACCCAGTGTGGGAAACATAGCCCCTATTTTGCAGTTGAAGAAACAAGCGCAGAGAGAGCAGGCAGTGAATGTACTTGGGGTGTGATGGGCCAGGCTTGGAGGTCCTGTCATTGAACCCCTTTCTGTACAGCTGAGGGATAGAGGCCACGTGATGGTGAATGGTGGATCCAAAACATTAAATAACATGCCCCACATGCCTTCTCAAGTCTCCTGGTGCCAGAGGCGCCTTGATCTCAGCACTGAACCCCGCCACCTCCGACAACCGATGCTTGGGAACGAGGCTTAGCTCCTCCAGTACTTTTTAGGACTTTTTTTGGCTTCATATTACTTAACAGTAGCTTGCACATAGTAAGTGCTCAACAGATGTTTAATTACAAAAGTCACACAGCTAGTTAACGGCTCTGGTGGCCCAGATGTGACTGACTCAAGGCCAAGGCTTTTTACACCAATTGCACAGATTACTTTGTAATCTAGGTTTTTTGTGTTTTTTTTTAAATGTAATGGATGTTTTATTTATTTATTTATTTATTTATTTATTTATTTATTTTAAAGATTTTTATTGGGGAATTGGGGGAAGGGGAACAGACAAGTTGCTGTCCTTTTGTTCTTCGGTCTAGTTGTGGAGGACGTTGCTTCACTGGCCCAAGTTGGCACCATCATTGCGCTCTTCGGGCGAGGCAGATCAGTTGCCAGCTTCTGGACGGCCGCTGGCTGCGGCTGCTGGCTGCTCACTGCGGCTGCTGGCTACACACGGTAGCCCATGGCAACCCACTGCCACAGGGGCTGCAGCCTACGCCGTCGCTGGCGACTCACAGCAGCCCAGCTTCAGGTTGAGCTGTGTTCAGCATCTTAGCTGTAGAGGGCAGTGTCACTGGCCCTCATAGGTGGGATCCGAACCGGGGCCCTCTGGCGTCCCAAGCCCGTTCTTAACCATCGCTCCACTCAGCCGGCCCTGTAATCTAGGTTTTTACAGATACTTCCATGTTAGCAAATGTCCCACTACAGCGGCTTTGTCCTATGGCAAGTTGGGTGTTAAGTCACAGTAACGCTTTTGAATGCAATAATTGAATGTTACTCTGAAATTTTAAAATGATACCAAAATCTACTTTCTAGTATGTAAATACTTTTCCAACATTAGGTTTTCTTCACTAGAGACATTCTTTATATAAATTTATTCTTTTCCTTGCATTGCTTCCCTGTGTAGCTGTTTTGTATCACTTGGGCCTTACACTTCGTTTTATACTCTCCCATATTTTGTATGGGGTTCATGTACTGTGGTTGCCTCACTTAGAGACATCCAGGTGGGGCCAAGGTTGGAACAGAACTTCCTCCTGAGGGGAAGAGAAGTCCCTGTCTTTTGGGGTCCTTCCCATCATTTCGTCTTACTTTTACTAGATGCAGAAATACAGAGCTGTAAGCAAGCCCAGAAATTTATTTCAAAGCTATACCCAAGGTGCCTGGCTGTCCTCAGTGGTTCCCTGAATGGGGACAGGAGTGAATATAAAGATGAACAGGTAAGCCAGGCAAAGCAGAGAGGGTGAAGCTCCTTCTGTCGCTGCAGGCAAAAGCCCTGCACTGAGACCTGGGGCTTAATCCCAGCTCTGCCACAACTGGTGACATAGTAGTACGTTTGGATAAACCAGACTGGCAGGAATCTTGGAGCTCTCTCAAGCAAGTGTCCTCAAACTCCAGGGTGTAAGGAAGCTTGCTAAATGTGAATTCTGATACCACAGGTCTGGGATAGGCCAGGAAATGTGCATTTTTACCAGGACCCTCAGGTGATTCTGACTGGGTGGTCGAAACAATTCTCAAAGGGTGGTCTGTGACCCCTGGAGGTCCCTGAGACCTTTCCAGGGGGAAGTGGGGACAAAACTATTTCCAGTTTTCATTCATATCTGCCTTTTTCATTCTCATTCCCTCACAGTGCACAGTGGAGTTTTCCAGAGGCTATGGGACATGTGATATGGACGATATTAAATGTGGAGGCAGATGTGAGAATCCAGCCTACTTAAACTATATTAAGCCAGACATTAGATTTGCAAAATTGACAAAACAATACCATTTATCTCACTGAATTTCCTTTTGTTTTGGGAAATTGTTATTCAAAAGTTTCTGTTTTAATTTTTAAATGGTAAATATTGATAGACATAACACATAAACAGAGCTCTTTGGGTCTTCAATAATTTTTAAGAATGTAAAAGCTTTGAGAACCACTGATCTAGCCCAGCTTATATTTTAGAGCTCAGGAAATTGGGGCTCTGAGAGCCGAAACTTGCTGAGTCACATAGTGAGACACTAGGACTGCCCCTCTGGGGACAGATTAGATGCTCTCCAAAGTCCCTCTCAATAATACCTGGGATTCGGAGACAGCCTGGGTGGTAGGACAGCACGTTATTGAAGTCAGATCAGATGGCTTCACAAATGATCTGGAATGTCTTTCTTGGAAGCTGCATGATGGAGAGGGAAAGGAAAGGGTTTTGCTGTTGTACGGACCGTATCTCGCTCCCGTTCCATTTCTTTCTAGCTGTGCAACTTGGGGCAAGTTATTGCAGCTCAAAGTTTCCTCACGTGTAAAACAGGAATGTCAAAATCTCACTGAAACAAATGGAAACTTGTGTCTCATACTTAGGATCCATACACGAGTTCCTATTTTACTTTATGGAAAGGACTCAGAAGGGACATAAACTGCAGTGGAAAATTGGACTGAATGAAACAATTGCTGGTAGGCTTCCTTGTGAAACCTGGGGGGAGAGGTAGATGAGCCCCTCTGAAGCTTCCTGCAAAGCTTCTGGTTGGTTCTCATAGTTTCAGCTAAGCTGGTGAGAAAGTGACCCATTATTCAAATTGTTTGCTATAGAAAATCCCATTTGGGGCTGGCCGAGTGGCGCATTGGTTAGGAGTTGGCTTGGGACGCCAGCCCTGAGCAGCAGGGCCCCAGTTCGGATCCCACATGAGGGCCAGTGACACCGCACCCTCTACAGCTAAGATGGCGAACAACAGCTCAACCTGGAGCTGGGCTGCCGTGAGTCGCCGGCAGCGGTGTAGGCTGCAGTGGGGCTGGCGGCAGCGGGCATGAGCTTTCTTTCATAAGCTGCCGTGAGCCGCCGTCCAATGGCCGGCAAGCGACTGCCTCTCCTGGAAAGAGCGCAATGATAATACCAACATGGGCCAGTGAAGCGACGTCCTC